TCTTCGGAGATGTTGCAAGGTGAAAATTTCTGATCTTTTTCTTTACATGTCTCACTTGCCCATATGAAAATTCCATAAAAGCTTTTAATCAATGATGAAGTTGCTCAACTATTTTGGTTAATTAAGCGCCTTCCAAAGCATGAAGTGCAAGAACACCATCAAGAACAAGGAGCTTTTCAAACCCAAGACAGAAGCACATGTGAAGGGGAAGTGATCAAATGGAAAGATGGAAGATTGTGTATCAGAAAGTGGGCTTCGTTTTGCAGACGCAATGGGATCACCAACACTGACGTTTGTCTCTGTGAATTTCTGTTGGGAGACGACGGACAACCTCATACATTAGAGGTTCACATTGTTGGGATTCAGGCCTAAAAGGAGGAGGAGGACGAGGAGGAGAAACAAAGAAAGAAGATGATTGACGATGATCATTGGAATTAGTAAACTTAATTTTATGTCTTTTAGGTTTGAGCCTTTTGATATCTTGTGTGAAATTATGAACTTGGAAATATGTCAGCTGTATGGAAACATGGGATTCGTATATAAGATGTTAATTATGGATCATTTGAACTGCCAACGAAGAATATGGATGAAAAAGACGAGGAAGAACACAAATGAAGAAGAAGATGGGGATAGGTAACTAGGTGTCCTCACCACAGCTCACCGGGGAAACGGACGGTCCAGATGGAATTATATGGAAGCTTGATTCACTGAACGGTTAAGATTGAAGGACATCCCCAAACGACTTCGTTCGGAGGCACATCCGAGGATGCCCGTGGAAGGGCCGCTCAATGGATCCAGCAGGAGGTGGAGGTGAGGTCAGGCCCAAAATGTCCTATGAGTCCAGTAAAGCGACATGGGAGCCCATTGTCCACAGTTCTTGTTTTCAATTTTCTTTTTTTGCATTACCATTAACCATTAATAACGGTACAATATTTCGTATGCATAAGATCAGGTGCTGAGTCACTTAAAAAAAAAAAAAAGACGTTTTATTTTGGCACCAGAAATTTAAGTGCACAGCACATGATTACATTTACAGAGAGCTCAAAATTTTTCTAAAGAATATTCACTTCCGTAACATTAATTTTTTTAAAAATAAATTTCGATAGAGTCGTCATTATTAAGATGGAAATATTTTTTAATTTTCTTATATAAAATAAAAATATTTCTCAAAAATATGTTTGTATTCAAATTTTTAAAAAAAATTGAAAATTTGTAAATACTAATAAAAAAAAACGTATACAAAAATTTGTTGTCAATTACAAATTTAGTATTGTCAACATTAAATAAAATATTGTTACTAAACCTAATTTAAGATTTAGTAATTTCTTTTTTTGTCATTCTCTCAGTTAAAAATATGAAAAAAGACAAAATCACATATTGATTTCTTTTTGGTTAAGAATCCAAACAGAAGATTGTGTACTAATTGTAAAATGATTCCAGGAAATGGGGTGACTACCCAACATAGAGTACTTATTCTTGATGTACGTTTTAAGAGTACCAGGCAAAAGTACCATCAAGGGTAAAACCCAGAGTTAGGTAGGTGGTGGCAGTTAAAGGGTGAGAAACAAGAGTTATTCAAAAGAACCTTGTGGAGGAAGGGATTTGGGAGTCGTAGGGAAATGCAAACATGATATGGGAAGAGATAGCCACAAGGGTTCGTTTGGCAGGTAAAGAAATTTTGGGAGAATCCAAAGGTCTTAGTCAGAGAGATAAGGAGACTGGTAGTGGGATAAGAGTGTGTAAGAGAAAGTCAAATAGAAAAGAGATTTTTAAGGCCATACACTCGTGCAATAGTGTAGAAAATTGGGAAAAGTATCAGTTGGCTAAAAAAGAGACGAAGAAAACAACGAGCGAAGCACGTACTAAAGCTTATGAAGGGTTTTATCAGGAGTTAGGAACAAAGACGGGAGAAGAGAAGAAAGAAATATTTACAAGATTGCGAAGCAAAGGGAGAGGAAAAGAAAGATTTGGACCAAGTAAAGTGTATAAAGGATGAAGATAGTAAAGTGTTAGTTACTGATGGTGATATTAAGGACAGATGGGAGGCTTATTTTACAAATTGTTTAATGAGGGAAGCAATATGTGACTCAGGACTTACAGGACTTGCTAATTAACGAAGATGATCATAATTTGGCTTTCTACTCAGGATCCGTATCAGAGAGGTTAAGGCAGCTTTCAAGAAAATGGACAATGGAAAAGTCGTTGGGCCTGATGGTATCCCTATTGAAGTTTGGAAATGTCTGGGAGATGAGGGTGAGGTATGGCTAACCAAGCTTTTTAATGAAATTTTATGCTCTAAGAATATGCCGGATGAGTGGAGGAGAAGCATTTTAGTTCCTATTTACAAGAATAAAGGAGACATTCAAAACTGTGCAAACTACAGAGGGATAAAACTTATGAGTCATACAATGAAGTTGTGGGAAAAAGTAATGGAATATAAGTTGAGGCTGGAGACTTCTATTTCAGAAAACCAATTTGGATTTATGCTAGGGAGATCTACTTCGGAAGCAATCTATTTACTAAGAGGGTTAATGGAAAGATATAGAAGTAAAAGAAGGGATTTACATATGGTCTTTATTGACCTGAAAAAGGCTTACGATCGTGTGCCAAGAGAAGTAATGTGGAAGGCTTTGGAAAAAAAGGTATACGGGTTGCTTATATCAAAGCCATACAAGATATATATGAGGGGGTAATTACCACTGTAAGGACGCCTGGAGGTGAGACAAAGGACTTCCCTATTCAGATTGGCCTACATCAGGGATCCTCTTTGAGTCCGTACTTGTTCAACATTGTTCTGAATGTTCTAACTGAACCATTCAAGAAAGAATCCCTAAGTCCATGCTTTTCGCGGATGATATAGTTCTCATGGCGGAATCAAAAGAAGAGATTAACACTAGATTGGAGTTATGGAGAAGGACGTTGGAGTCGAAAGGTTTCCGCTTGAACAGGAACAAAACAGAATATATGCATTGTGATTTTGGGGGAAGGCAAGGCAATGGGGATTTGGAGGTGAAGATGGGGGAGCAAATCATTCCTCAAGTATCAAAGTTTAAATACCTAGGATGCATTATACAGTAGGATGGGGAAATTGATGGAGACGTTTCTCATAGAATACAAACTGGCTGGTTAAAGTGGAGGAAAGCTACCGGAGTTATTTGTGATAAGAAGGTACCTGAGAAACTTAAAGGAAAATTTTATTGGACTGCTATAAGCCCGGCTATGTTGTATGGTAGTGAATGTTGGGCAATAAAAGGAAAACAAGAGCACAAAGTTAGGGTAGCAGAAATGAGGATGTTGAAATGAATGTGTGGTCATACAAGAAAAGATAGGATTTGAAATGAAAATATCAGAGCAAGAGTCGGTGTGGCACCTATCTAAGAGAAAATGGTGAAAATCGCTTAAGATGGTTTGGACATATGTAGAGAAAGCCATTGGAGGCCCCGGTGAGGAGGGTGGATCAGACAAGATGGAGTCCCATAAAAAGGAACAGAGGAAGACCAAGAAGAACGCTTAATGAGGTCATTGAACGAGATCTCCTAGTCAATAACATATCTAAGGACTGGGTTGTTGACAGAGCACGATGGCATCGTGTGATTCATTTAGCCGATCCCACCTAGTGGGATAAAGCTGCTTGTTGTAATAATGTTATAATGAATATTAGATATTTTATTTTGCCAATACACCGCCGCCTCCATTTTGCATCTCTTGGGACTCAAGACCTCCGACTTGTCCTCAGTGACCAACTGACCATGTTGGATGGGTGATGCCGAAACACTTGGACACATGTTATTGGTTCAATAAATGTACCCAACAATATTTGTTTTGTTTTCAAGTCTCTTGATCTAATCTCAAAAGTTTCTGGTAAAAAAAATTCTCAAAAAATTAAAGTAGAACATTAAATAAATGTCCTTAATATGGGACATAATTACTGAGTTAATTTGGTTTTAAATATAAGACCTATTCTCATATTTATCAACTTTTTCTAAGTTATTTTATGAATATTCTTTCAACTATAATCAAATAGAAAAGAAAAAGAGAATATTAAGAAAAAAGATTATAATATTTAAGAAAAATATGTCATATATTTTATAATTAACTAGTCTATCTATTTTTTTAATCTAATTAAATTAATAAATTAATTAAATAGTTCTTGTATATATTAAGTATCGGGGAAGTATTATGCGATTATATTTCACGTGGACATGCGAGGAAAAGGAAGCCGCTAGATTTGTCCCACCGAATATCCCAAACCGCGACGGGGCATATGCCGTATGCTTTTCCTATGGGCTATCCTTAAATTTCCGGTGATTGCTTCCTCTATCCATTGTGCGTCCCCCAGCTCCCGTTTCTGACATTCATCGGCCACCACAGTTTCAGGAGGCCGCCATTTTCAAGGCCCTTCCCCTTTTTGTTTCTCTATATAAACCTTACCCGCTCCTCCTTCGTCCCCCAAGCTTCTTTCTAAACACCCAAAGTTCCAACAAACAAAGCACAAGAGGTTCTTGATTCAGACTCTGAAAATGTCTGCCATTGCTGAGATATGGATGGGCAAGCTGTCAAAGCTTAAAGCAAATATCACGCCTCCCAAGCCCTTGTCGTCGTCCAAAGCCAAACAAGGATCACAAATTGAGCGCCCTGTAGAAAAGGATGCTACGAACAACAAGAAGGACTACACAAGTTTTCGTACAGACACTTCAATGATGTCTGAAGCATCCGTGTGTTTGCTTATGGATCGATTCGTGCCTTGGTGATTATATATGTGTATATATGTTCTGATGTATTTGTACATCTCACTACACCAGGTTTACTCTGGCTAAACCTTTTTTGTTTCGGGGGCGATCTTAGAAGTATGCTTTGAATCGCTCTTGCTCTGGTTCATTCTCTAAAGAAATGAAAAGCCAGATGTATTGTCTCCTCTTTGAACTGAGCTTTATCTTTGGATAGATCAAATTATATATTATTGACTATATTGCCAAGTAGCTTGACACGACGGACTAATATTAGCAGAAATTCACCTTGTACCATTGAGATCAAACATGATCACAAGCAACTCTTTCCTCCGATGCTTTGTGCAAAAGTATTGATTTACGCAAGTATATGGAAAGCTAATTGATTTACACAAGTATATGGAAAGCTAAAACGGAACATACCTGTTCTTAAATATGAATCTAGGTCGCAGCTTCAACCTCAAGAATGGGCAAACAACTTTCTGAGAATAGACATGGACTGTTCTAACAAAATAGTCTGTATATCAATTATCTGGGGGAAGAATCAGAAGGAGCTTGCCTCCTCTATTTCAAAGGTGGTTGAAAAAATCTCAGGCTGGCAAGAAGGTGGTATCCATTTTTCACATGCCGTGATTACTCTTGCATAGCTGAGGGCCTCGTCAACAGTATCAGGTTCTAAACCGGTAACCAGTGAAACAAACAGCTTTCGGTTTGTGAGAGATTTGAACAGCTTCTTGAACTTTACAGCAATATATTGGAAAGCACGGTGAGCTAGTGGGGTGTTATTGATTCGGTTACTTGTACAGGCGCTGTTTTGATTGTGACTAATCACTGGATTGAAGTCAGAAAACCATTCGCATTGTGTTAGAGGTACCAATTCAATCTTTTCCTTAAAAAGATCAAATTTGTTCAGTATTAACAAGAATTTCTTGTCATTGAAGGTTGGATGTCTTATCATGTTCTCAAAGAGATGCTTAGCTGCGAGCATTTTGTTTGTAGAAACTCCATTGCTGTCAACTGTATGCTCATCATAGTCAGTTAAGGCGACACAGAACAAAGCAACATCCATGTCTTCAAACATCTCCAACCACTTACAGTTCTCTCCCAGGCTTCTGGGATGTACTCTGATCAGTTGGTACCTACAATCGAAACAAACAAATGAAAACTACGAAGCTCTCGTAAAATATGATATTTCAGGTTTCAATTCATTTCTTCCCATCGCCTCACAATGTGGTCCCTTTCTAAAGCATGAAGCTTCCAATATTAGCATAAGAAAACTTTATCATCTGAAAATAAAAGGCGAAAAAAATTATGCGCCGTTCTAAGATGTTTGCCATCAATACTTATCTAAACAAATTATGGCATGCCTAAGAAAATTGGGGTAAAAGAAAAACTAAGAAAGGAACACTGTGTTAGTCATGTGCATGAATAAATTACATATTTTCTTAATCTGGAACTAAATTAAGCCTCACTGCATCACCAAAAAAAAAAATGGTGAAGATCTGACCTGAAAGAAGGATCATGTCGATACTCTGAGAACACAGAGTCTTCATCAATTGGCTTGGGAAATGAAAATTCCATGGAAGCAAGACTGTTGGATAAGGCCATACCCTCGGCATACAAGATATCCATAACACAGGGTTCATAGTCTGTCTTGGAAATCTCAACAGCCTGCACATGAGGAATATGTTTAGATATTGATGAGTAGTAAATGCTCTCTTCGAAATGAAGTGATGCAGTTGCCGCATCAATGGCCATATATGAGAGATGATAGATTTAACTAAATTGAGAGATTATCTTCCGCGGCTTGGATCATTTGATCTGAATATCAAACTAATACAAATATGATTCCGATGGCCATTCATGGAAACTCGAAACTTCCAACATCCAGAAGGGTTAACGGGAAGAAATGAACGGAAAAAAAGATAGAGCAGCAGTGATACATTGATCAACTATGATACGTAGTACTTGAGAAACAACTAGGATAATGAAGTACAAAAAAAGATGGACAACCAAGCACCACATACCCGGTCTAGAAAATAACTTGCATTTCTTGGTAGCATTTCTAACTCATCTCGTCGGCCGTAGGTTGCTTGAATGGCTGCATCCCTCCATAGCTCCTCTACAAGAGATGCGTACTCGGACGTAGCTGCTGGAAATATCTCACCAAAATCACCCAACGCCATATATTTGATGAGTGAATCTGAGAAGGCTTTCAGTCTTGGGCTTATAGAATAAATTGTTGTTTCTCTAGTATTGCCTGTAATCTCTGCTGTAACTAAGAAGTTAGCAACTTCCCTCCATAACACAAACTACCAACTAATGGTGAACAGGCTTTTTCCACGAGCTAAATTATGAGTTAGATAAATTATCCCAGAATTAAAGGTAGAAATACTAATATTATGAAGAAGAATCACGCCGTGCATACACAGAAGGCTTTAACAAATTCATCACAGTGATGAAGTATTCCGAAGAATGAACCAACACAACCAAGAAACTAGAGTCCCTGTTTGAAGCAGAGCGTAAATTAAATATAGAAAAAAACAATTGCCAATTACTTTGCATTTGGCCAAGGACTAAACAAACATAGATCAAATTCATTGAATAATTACCAGATGAGGTGGAATCATTAACCATCCGTCTTTTCTTATTCTGCAGCAAACTCTCTTCGTGAAATTTCTCACAGCCCTCCAACAATATGCCAAGGTGGGTATACAGGTTGCTCTGGATCACCAGCTTGATATTTTGGAGCTCATTATGGGAGAAAGGGACATTGTACTGAAGCTTGGCCTAGGATGTCATGTTCAGTCTTTAGGGTCACTCATAATCATTTTATTACCAGTCATAAGAGAAATTTTAAACTTTGACAAAGGATTTACACCACGTACGGTACAAATGGATTTTGGAATGATAAAAATTTAGCAGAACCGAGCAAGCTTTAAGCTTGAATCAGAGCATAAGTTAATCATTAAATCAGCATCGTACATATGAGAATGCGTGGCCCCAAAAAAGCATCTTACCTGTTTAAATATAGTGCTTGTTCCAGATTTGACTGATCCAACAAGTAAAAATTTGTGAAGCGTTTTATTCTCAATACGGTGCTGGGTAACTGTATTGACTCTTTCTTCACTGCAAAGAGGGAAAGAGTTTGGACGCCTTGGCAGAGATAGCATCAAACAAACTAGCTTCGGTGCAGTCTGTAGGAGAGTAAGCCGACAATTATTGACGAATGTTCGTAACTATAACAAGAAAAATAAAAAGTCAACATAAAACTTCACGAGAATCACCTTATTCCATATGTACCCCTTGGTATTCCTCTGCCCCTCCTCTTTGTACGATCCATCAGCATTCACCCAAAAATTAGGCTTTCCTTCACATGCCACTCCTGCTGCCTATAAACAATGAACAGAATACTTCCATTTAACATAATCGAAATTATAAATTAAAAAAAAAAAAAAAGAACATGCATGATTCTGCCTCGCATAAAAACCTTAAGCATCCAGCGCTCTTCTTTGGTAATCTCTCTACCGTTTATGAACACATTTGTGTTTCCATTGCTTGCATTTTCCTTCAAGACACCTCCAACGTCCAGCCGGGGGCTTATAAATTGAGTTGGCCGTTTACCCTCCTGTACGACCAAGCAGAGCAAAAAGATTTGAGGTATGCTTATAAAAACATCAGCTCCACCTCAAATCAAGGAGGGAAAACATAAGCAAGCATGCATCTTAATCTTCACCTTTCCCCATAAACCGGATGCCTTATCATACCAATAAAAACCTGGCTTTAGCTTTTTTGGTGGATTTGAGCTGCTCAAGAGTGACATCATCTGTTTCCTATTAAGTTGTTCCCCATTCACACAAACAAGTTCTGGTGGTATTTGGTTTGCTTCAGAAAACTTCTCAGCATAAATTATTTGTTTCGCTTGCGGCTCAGACATCAAGTGCTTCAGCATCCGAGAACCTTTTCCCAAGGTTCTTCGTTTGCTTTCATCGATTCGATAGCCAATGCATGTAATGCATTTTCTTCCTTCAGGCATGCTCCCCATTGCTCTTATGACACAATTGCGGCAGTACTTTGCATCACAAGAAATGCAAATTACCTTCTCAGTGAAGCGATTACCCTTATGGCATCGATGGCATGTACCTTTGTTACCAGTTCTCTCAACTTTTGGTCTCACAGGGTACCTTCCAGCTTGAGAATCAACAGGTCTTGCGCTCACTACTATCATGGCATCTGACTCAGGATCGCGGAAAGTTACAGTTGAAGGTCGCTTGATATGTGTGGGTCTGGTTGTGTCGTTTTTACAGTCAGCTCCCCTGCAAGAAGAAATCTCAGAGGAGAGAGATTGAGAGTTCGAGCCCGATTCTGTTATTTCCGAGTTGGCGGGGTTCGGATCACTTTGAAAGAATATTTCCTCTTTATCATCAGTGCCCAATGAACCTGAGTTACTAATTCTGTTTGGAAATTCAATGGTTGAGGAATGGGAGTTGGATTTAGAGTCATAGTTTGCATGCCTGGTTTTCACAATGGGCTGGATGATTGGAACAGAAAGTTGATCAGAAGAAATAGAAGCTACAGAAGCAATTGGAATTTGATCAATTTTCAAAGGAGCTATTTCTGGGATCGAGTAATTTACAGCAGGACCATCATATATCATAGCAATGGAGTATTCAAGGTCATGATCGTCGTTATCTTGAGAAACTGATGAGGGCACCCCAGGCAGCCATTTTTTCAGAAGCGAAGCCATTCTAGCCAGTGTCAAACAAACTCTCACTCTAATTTGACAGACCCAGCCTGCTTCATAACCATTACTAACTAAAAGAAAGGATCATGCAAAGAACCCATGGAGCACAGTAGGTAATAAGAATATCCCGAAGCAAAAAAGCCATGAGACAAAGGCAAGACTCAATGAGAGCTTGAAACTTGAACATGATGGATGAGAACTGGGAAGTTATGGTGGAGAAGCGAAACTGAAAGGCAGGAGGCAGAAAGAAATGTCAAAAGAAAGGGGGGTGACTACTGACAAGTGACAAGTAAACCCGCAGAAGACGAATATAGAAATGAACCGTTCAGCTTTGAACGAAATTGCTTGGAACGGATCAACGAACTTTTATCAAATTCAATTTCATATACTAATTTGCATATTTACACACGCTGCAAAATATAATCCGTATAACATCGACCCTGAACCCAAACGCATCCTAAAATATTGAAATAGTTGTAAATAATGGTTGGGGAAAAGAAAATTCCAAATCTGATGCTTTAGGATTCTCAGGGAAGTCAGACGTCAAAAGTTCGTTACTATTTACGCACTACGTGATGATTTTTGCACCGAGGAATACGTTCATACAGTTCTTGCACAATTATTTGACTTCAAATATCGAAGACGCTGGTTAAAAATGTATGTTTCTTAAATATAATATTACCTCCAGTTTTAAATATAACATTGAGTTTATAATTTAATTTAAATTATAAATTAGATTTTATATTTAAAACTGCTAGTGAGTTTAAGTGGGTTGTGTTTGCAAATCATTTGAAGGGAAATTTTTTCTTTTTAAAAAAAGTAATGGATAAGATAATCAAAGAATGCTCTTAGTAGACGGTCGAAAGAAAATAAATGATTGTTTTAGGATTAATATTTATATTCCAAAAAATTTAAGTGTTTATTATCGACTCATAATTCGTTTTCATAATATACAAAACGAGTTTGCTCCGAAAAAAAAAAACAAAACGAGATTTTTAAAAGGCCTATTTGCCATCACGATGAAATATATTTTTTCAGAAACATTATAATAATAAAACTCTTAATATATATATATATATATATGTAATGATGTATAAATTTTGTCTTTAATTTTGACGAATTTGCATGCGTGTCCAAGGTGCTAATCATCAAAGACATTGAACTGCGTCACCTAATACTACCTCCAGTCTTTAATATAGGACCTTGTTTGATTTTTATTTTGATCCTAAATATAAGATCTCAATCCACTTTGTCTCTCATATTCATTTATTTTTTTTCAAGATAGTTCTTTTAGTTATATTAGTTCTAGCCAATAAAATTGATTATCAAGAATATTTTAAAAAAAACAACATCTATTTATTACAAATAACTAAATTAATTTATTTTTTTAATTTACTCAAATGAGTCAACTAGTTTTTATATTTAAGACCGGAAATAATAGTTAAAATAATTTTTTCTCGCAATAAAAAATAACTTTTGTCTAGTCGTATTGTTAAGATCTGAAGAATAAAAGACATCAGGGCAGGTGATATATTACATCACAATTATACACACGAACAAGGACAGACAAAAAAGAAATTAACGGTTTAAGCATAAAGTCTCATATTTAAATCTTTATAAATTCAAAAAGTATTTTTGAGGGAGTTACTCAGATAAGTCCAGCAATACGCGATATAAAACAAATTAATGGGTTTTTTTTTTTGTTGGAAAAGACAAGTCAATGGCTGTGATTGTGACAAGACAATTGGGCCTTAACTTTAGATAAGAATGTCAAGTGTTTGTTGACAGAAGAGCGAGTTTGCTTGGTCTGTTTTTATTAGTCATTTTCCATTTTTGAGTGGAACCCCTTCAATTTTTCCAACGTAGGTTTTGGGTCAAGGGAAGGAGCCACGAAAATTTATATCTCATCGATATTAATATAGCAGTAGATCTTAATTCACACAAGCTTTAAGAAATAGTAGCATGAAAAATTATCCTGCCTCCTATCCTTAATACTACCTCCAGTTCTTAATATAAGATCTTGTTTGACTTTTATTTTGATCATAAATATAAGAATCCAATCTACATTGTCTCTTATATTTATCTACTCTTTTAAGATAGTCCTTCTAACAATGATAGCTCTAACCAATACATTTAATTGACAAGGATATTTTAGGAAAGACAATACTTATTTACTACAAACAACTAACTTAACTTCTTTCCTTAATCTCCTTAAATTAGTCAACTAGCTCTTATAATTAGGACCGGAGGTAGTATGAGAGTTTGTTTCATTTTTATTTTGATTCTAAATATAAAACCTCAATCCACTTTGTCTTTCGCATTTATCTATTTTTTAGGGTAGTCCTTGCAATAATGGTAATTCTAGCCAATATGCTTGATTAATAAAGATATTTTAAGAAAAACAATACATATTCATTATAAATAATTAATTTAAATTATTTTTTAATCTGTTTAAATTAGTTAACTAGTTCTTATATTAAGTATTAGAGATATTATGAGTTTATCTTTTGGAAAAAAAAAAAACCATATGTAAGCCTTACGAAGAAGCAGCCACTCTCAGCCCACCCACACAAAAGAAGACATTTGCAGGGCTGGCATCAAGATTCCTGAAGAAAAGCTCTCTTGAAAGGAATTATTGGCCCATTCATTAGTGGACGTGCAAGTGAAGCCCAAATCTGAACACCTCCACGCTTAATGTATTGCCAGTGTTTGTTATTACTACCAGTATTAGTGAAAAATAAAATGAAAATATTTATGTGAAGTTCTTGATACCCATTATAATTGAAGAACTTAATGCAATAGATATAAAAAATTTAACCCAAGTATTAAAGAACTTGACATAATAAAAAAGCTCTAGTCTTCTAATAAGGCATCGCTTTGGGACTTTGGGTAAATAGAGGTGCTTCTTTTTCAAAGACTAAGTCAACACATATACTCCCTTTGATTCTTAATATAAGAAATAATCAATTAGTCGAGTAGATTGAGAAAGTCAAATAAAATAGTTTATTACATCAAATATCACATGATCCCCAAAATATTCTTTATGATATTATATTCTGTATTAATTTATAAATTATGCAAGTTAGTTTTGAAAAAAATAATCAATATGAAATACAAGTAAATTGAGAATTTTTTTTATAATCAAATTAATCTCTCAACTAACTTTTATATTAAAAGTTAGGGAGGAAAATGCAGGCAAACTAGAAATGCTTCTTTTTTCTGTAAAAACATGGTATTTATGTTTTTTTTTTTAACACATCAATAAGCTAGACCTAGCACGTGGTTGAGGTGGAACTAGTTTTGATGTCCATTACAATGATAAATATTTTGGTGCTTATTACTTTAGTGGAATTTATATTATAATGCTCATCACTTTGATTAAGATTTTAACCCAAATGGAAGAGTCATGTTATGAATGACCTTATTGTACGGTTCAGAGAGCACTCTGTGCATGCGATGTAAGTGCCATCCATCGAGTTGTTTTACGATATAAATAAATTCAAGCCCACAACACGCATCAACGTAGTGCTATGTTGTTGGAGTAACCTAAGCTTTAATTGCAATACGTTGCTTACTAAAATGAAAAGAAGATTATTATTATCTCCAGTTCCTAATCTAAAAACTAGTTTAATATTGAATTTGATCGTACATATAAAACCTTAATCTATTTAGTTTCTTATATTTATCTTTTTTTTTTAAATAATCGTTGTAGTAGTTGTATATGTTAAAAATTTTATCACATGGTAGTTTTAGCTAAGACATATGATTAGCAAATATATTTTAGAAAAGATACCACATATTTATTATAAATAATCAATTTAACAAATTTTTTAATGTATTTAAATTAATCAGGTAGGTCTTATATTTGGATGTAGCGTCTTTTCGCTGAGCCACGCATAAAAGACACATTCTTCCTTCTCAAAGGTTCATGTTCTTAATTAAACAAACGGTGGCTTCGCCTTACGGCAGTCTCCATCTCTTGTTCCATCCCTCTCCACAAACACACACAGACACACACCCTATCGTCATACTACCTCCGATCCTAATTATAAGACTTAGTTGACTTATTTGAGGAGATTAAGGAAGTAAGTTAAGTTAGTTATTTGTAATAAATAAGTATTGTCATTTTTAAAATATCCTTACTAATTAAGTGTATTGGCTAGAACTATTATTATTAGAAGGACTATTTTGGAAAAAAATACATAAATATGAGAGACAAAATGGACTGGGGTCTTATAATTAGGACCAAACAAAAAGTCAAACGGGATATTATATTAAGGACGGAGGTAGTATAATAATACTCCTCCGGTTCCTTATTATAAGACCAATTTGACTTTTTATTTGGTCCTAAATAAGACCCAATCCATTTTCTCTCTTATATTTATGTATTTTTTTCCAAGATAATCCTTCTAATAATGATAGTTTAGCCAATATACTTAATTAGCAAGGATATTTTAGGAATAACAACATTTATTTATATAATAACCAACTTAACTTACTTCCTTAATCTCCTCAATAAGTCAATTGGGTCTTATAATTAGGACCGGAGGAGTACACACATTTATAATCAGCCTTATGCATGTCCAAATGATATATGATGCCTGCATGGGCATGAATTATATATTCTGCTAAATTGGCTCTTGGGATGTCAAAATAATGTGCTTATTATCAGGAGTGAAATTTCGAATGCCATCATCTTAAGCAATTAATGGCAATTCCCTCTGCACCTTACTGGCCTCCTCCTCACGTATAAGCGATTAACTTGTCAGTCGCATTGTTTAGCACCTCAAGCTAAGAGACGACATTGTTGGGTGCTTCTTTAATTTGTTACTAGCAATTCTAGAAATGAGGCATTATCTATGTACGTATATAGGAAATATATATACTATTTTCAGTCCTAATTATAAAATCTTATTTGTAGTCTACAAATAAAGTCAGTATATATATATTGGGGGAGTGTATGTGGAAAGTTTTCCTAAACCACAATCATGCATAGAATGTTG